GATTTATTGAGGAATTTAATGAAATAAATAGTAAATAAAAAATGTAAGTAAATTCACGATTATCCCAACATATTAACGAAGCATAGTTCTTATTTATTAGTAATTTCATTCAAAATTACTAATAAATAAAATTAATTAATAAGTATAATAAATACAAGCTACGATATTTTATAAAATTACGAATTAATATTAAAAACTTATCTGTAATTTAATTTAGTCTACATTTTTATAAATGAATTATATAAGTTTGTCGGATTAAGAATCAAACTTTACGCTAAATTATTGATTCGAATAAATAATTTAAAATATTTGATAGGAGAAGGACATAAATTCTACTCTGCTTGTGTTCTGTAAAGATAGTTTGACTCAATTTTTTCATTGTCGCTGATCTGGAACTGCCAATTTGAGAGGGAAAAAAAGGAAAGTCTTAAAGATACTCCATCTCCAGAATTGTTCTCTAACAAAGTTTACGACGCGTCATTTAAAATCGATAGAAAGACAAGGTGGCATCTCCTGTCCCGTAATACAATAAAACTATCACTTGTGTGTGCAGCTTTCGCTCTTTATCGATTGCGGGAGCGAAAACGAAGTAAATGTTCCCGTAATAATGAAACGGATGAACATTATTACTTCGGTTAAGTACCGCGTTCACCCTTGATATCTCATCGTAATCGGAATTCACTGTAGAGAGTACCATACGGCCGACAATTCGAAACAAAATAAAGTTCAAGCGGTCAGAATAATATCTTACGTCGTAATATGAGCAGCGTATCAGCGTCGCAGAAAATACACATACAGACAGAATGTGGACAGTTAAAGATCAAGCGCGTACAGACACCAATATTTTGTCGAGACCATCGGGCCTCGTGCTCTTCGAGAGAGATACGATAAAATTCATATAAAGAGATTCATATATAATGAGTACCTCGAATCTTTGACCGTGGATTGCAAGATCGACAAGTTAATCTATGTTTCTTGCGTTACTTCTGTGAATTTTTATTATCCTCCACTTTTTATTTTTTTCTCTAGTTAGATACTTATGCAATCAAATATTATTGTATCGCGTCATTAAAGATAAAGAATTGGTGTCGCAAAATGTTCGCTTTACACCATTTTTATACAAAGAATAACGCGCGTAAAAAGTAATTGACTTTTTAAGTCATAATTATAAAATACTTACAAAACTAGGATTATTTAATTTTTATATAAATTGTGCAAATATTCACGAGAAAAAGTAAAAGGGTCAAGTAATTAAAATGTTTATGTGGCTTTTTAAACAACTTTTCTCTTGTAATAAGAGCTACTCTAAATTGTTCGTGAGTTTTATCCATGCACTTCAATAATATGGAACGGGATTTTCAATAGAATTCCATAGTTTCAAGTTTCGAGGCTCCTCATGTAATAAAATCCTTTCGATACTCGCTAACATCGTGAAAAAATAAGTTCGCAGCATATACCGCAGCATTCGCATGACAAGCCGAATCGATCGTACCCGAGTAAATCGATTCGCCGCATTATTAGCTACAAATGACTCTTAGATCGAAGAGAAAAGATAGACAATGGCTGTAGCAAAACTCTTAGAACCAATTTAAGCCGTAAGGTAGAGAGTGAGAAAGTTAGGTAAGAGAAGAGAGAGAGAGAGAGAGAGAGAGAGAGAGAGAGAGAGAGAGAGAGAAAGAGAGAAGGAATAATAATATATATGCTTTCAATAGCTACGATGTGTCGTACAAATACGTATGACCGCAATTACTTCTTTCACCATTTCATATAACACCGGAATCGGAAGGCTCGAGCGTTTGCAATTATAGCAAATTAATCTGATGCGAGTCACGATTCGATGTAAGGGAAATGTTGGCAATGCTAAATGCTTCAGTTGCCATTTTGAAAATTATATTATTAATCGTATATCTTGAGATTTTTGTTAAACATTATAACAAAAATTGAAACTTTTGCATCAAAATCCGTAACATTGGGAAGAAATTGTCGTACTATTAGAACGAATAATTTAACTTATATTAATCGGCTATTACGTCTCTTTTTAATCGTCAAGTTGTTATAAGATGTACACTACGTTTACAAAATTGCTCAATATCAATGTGTGAACAAAAATACGAAAATTTTTGAAATAATTCTACAAGTGCTAAATTGTATTATTTGAGAGGCACTTGCAGCACTCTCTATTCATTCTAACAATTAATTTTATTAAAAGTCTTTTTTAATCGAGTATTTTTTAATAGAGTATAAATGTGTAGAAATAAAAATCACACATTTGCTAAAATTCATCGTGTTTTTTGTATATTAATGTTCCGCTTTTAATAATTCTATCAATGCTCTTTGACATAATACAGTGTTTTAAAAAGTTCTTCTTCAAGAAAATATATCAAGTCATGCTATGTAAAAGTACGCGAAATGAAAATATATTTAATAATGGAGATAAAAGATTTTTCTGTTGCGCTTTAAACTGCTTGTGTGTTACCAGAAAAGAAGAAGATATAGACTGTTAAATGTAACCTTTTTGTCTTGACAATAATTTATCCTAAAACATTTTCAAATTTATAAAATTTTGTGTCTCTTTCTTTCAAATAATATTTAATTATTGTTTACATTTGAGATACGCAATGCAATTTTCAGGTCTTTTTTAGTGATTTTAAAGATATAACGGTCTGAAAATGTCACGATGGTTCCGATAAAAAATATGTGATATAGAATATGGGATATTGAGGTATAAAGTAGAACTAGCCAATGTTTTTGTTTTCTCGTCTCTACTGTCATTGCTGAATTTTCGAATTAAAATTTCGGTTTGTCCAAATTATCTACTTCACATGACAATGGGAATTTTTCCTACGTTTTGAATGTATATACATACAAGTTAGAGGAAATAGGGGACACGTTTAAATGAAATTAGATTTTGAGCAACGTTCAAGAAAAGGAGTGAAGCTCTTGGGTGACTTAAATTAGTCTCTTTAGTTCGTCGTCATACCACGATAAAGGCTTAATTCGCAACAGTTTCTTTTACTGGAATCTTTTGACTCTTATATTCATAAAATGTGTCTAATTGAATATCCGATAATCGCAAATTAAAGAGCAAAACATATCATATAATTGTATATCATATTTTCTTTGCTCGAAAACACACAAAGTAACTAAAATGTAATTACTCGTTCATGACATATCGCATTAGCGAATTGTTTTGTAAAAGGTAAAGGTAAAAACTCATTCTACGTGGAACGATTTAAGCCCTTATGCGTGAAACTAATTCGGTATCAGAATTTCATGTACGTCAAATAATCGCACTTTCGAGATATGCCCTCTTCAGCTCGATAATCAATGTTATCTATTAATATTCTACAGTGAGCTGCGGACAACAAATGTTAGCGTAGACGCGTTTTCCACGGGTGGTCTTTTGAACGGCGATGCCCGCGTCTTGGGAGAAAAATTGCGACGTACGTCTTCGAAAAATTCCAAGAGCGGGCTATTATTCCCGACCAAGCCGACCTGCACGGTCGCGAGGACTCAGGTGAATCGATAAACCGCAAACGTAATAAGTACGCATAAAAGGCACGCCCGCGTTAATGCGCGGCATCGGCGTTCAAACCAGTCGATCGATTCGGTATAACGAGTGGCACCGTTCTCCGCCGTTGATTTCTGCCCCAAAAAGCCATTTTCGCGTGACATCGGCGTTATTTCAATAGCGCTACAACCACGTTTCCCTTTGTCTCGAGTTGCGAACCCAGAAAGTTCAAGAAGTGGAGTAAATTCGCGATAAAAGTTCTAAATATGTCTATTCAGAAAACATACTTATCGTACAAGCTTTATCTCTTTGAAACATAAATCAGTGAAGTTACATTAACGTTTACTCTTACAATAAAGCCCGCATTGGTACCGTCGACGACGCAAGTATTTTCAGGCTGTCTTCGAGACGTAAAAGTTTGGCTAATCTAAAAACGCCACTATTGTATCGGCGATCGAAAGCAAAGGAGATCGAGTCTTCATCTGGAGAGCTCGCGTATCTTTTATAATATTTTTCAACTTGCCGAACTCCTGAGATGTCAAAAGATACGAAATTTAAGTGTCACAATGAAAAAGTTCGCATCGTAAACAATTTCCTAATGAGTACCGTGGATCGTTTCTGGGTGCCATCGCGATGCAGGAGGATCAACGGCCGGAGAACACCGTACACTCGAAGTATTCACCGTCTCGCGGCTCGGGGGACACGTAAATCTGGGGCCGCCGCTCGTCTCGCCGATCGTCCCGCTCTGATATACGAGCCTTGGCAAAACTAGCAGCCCCAGACGAAACGAGCTATGCGAAACGCCGAGTAGCAAGCGGAATGCTCTGCGGCGATACTTCGAGATTTCTCTGAAGGGTTGAGAAAAGAAGATATGCGCGATCGCGCGGCGGAGACTTGGCGGAAAGACAAGTCAAGCGAAAAAGCTCTTCGGATGCACGCGAAATCGATAAGAAGCGGAAGAAAAAAAAAGTATCAATGCCCCGGGTCGATATGATAAGAAGACGTTTTATAAATTTTCGGCCTGTCCTCGCGTTGTATACTTGAAAAGATCATTTCGAGAAAGAAGAAAAGACGTTTCGCGCATTTCGCAAAGCTCGCATATTTATTTATCACAAAAATAAGAAATCCATAGACAAACACAGTAAAGGTTTCTACGAGAATAGAGATTTTTACTTAGCTCCTCACTTCATGTAAAATTATGTGTTCTACATTTCGTAAACTATAATCACTGCCACGTGGTGGAGAATTTAATTATGCACAAGTGATATCGTTTTTCCAGAAAAATGCTACTGTGGTTATCTATGGAGACCGAATCGAAATGAAAAATAAAAATTATTAAGAGCGTAAAAAATGGGAATGCGTTTCTGAGAATCACGCCAATCGAGGGGCACATTATACGCGGAATAAGAAGGTTCTTTTAATCGACGTATGTACGTAAATGTTAAATTAGTTCAATATTGTTTGAGAGAAATAGACAAGAATAACTTACCAAACCGACAAGTAGAAAAAATACTAGGAATGTGCGGCCGAGGACCGTCTGGCAGTAAACGTCGCCATATCCTACCGTGGACATCGTCACGATCAGAAAGTACACACAGGTCCAGTATGAAAGATGCTGTGGGTTCGTGAACTCGAAAGGGTCCCCTGAGTTTTCAAGCTGCGGGCACAATGTTATTACGTTTAGGGCCGTCCTGGTGTCAAGAGTGAAATTGCGATTTATATTGGCAGGTCATAACCATAAGCTTTTACTACTGCGCAATGGCATAAACGTGGAACATTTCGAGAAACGAATCTCTCGGATTTCTACGCATAGGGCGTCCTGGGAAATGTAAAAGAGAGTCGTGAGATGAGAGCGAAATATATCGAATAGTAATGCAAGATTATATTCTTCTTATTGATAATACTCGAAGCGTAAAAATTAAAAATCGTAAAAAGATACAGCGTTAAATATAAATATAATAGTTCCGTGGTTTATATTATTATAATTTTTCATGATACATTCAATGAAGGAATCAATACTAGATTTTCACTATCATATTATTACAAGCGTATCTATTTATTATCTGTAAAGTAGGATTGTTAGATTTAGGAATACTCATATTTTTTTATTTAATTTATTAAACGATTTAATGTCTTATGGAAAGCAAATTATTTTGTAATTAATCATCCTTAAATGTTTCCAAAATTGCTAAAAATTTATTTTTCAAGAATTAGTTTTGTTATCAAGTATTATGTATCAAACAATTATTAATTTCCACATTTCTCACAACTCTCTATGCACCTGTAATAGTTGCACAGTCAAATTATTTTGGAAAGTAATATAAGTGTGTTGAGAGAATTAAATGGCAAAATGAGAGAATTATATTTTCTATTACAAACCAAATCCAAAGAGTAACCGGTACAACACTTGTAGTGTAGTGAGTCACTTTTTAAGTAATTAAGCACAAAAGGAGGATAAAACTCACCAAATGAATGATGCCAGCAGCGGTTAACCATACCGAAATGAAGATGGATACGAGTTGGGCGAGACGAATAGAGCTCGATGTCTTTAGAATGTTAAGGTACTGGAGGATGTCAGGGACCGTCATCAGTCGTAGGGCTCGGAGGAACCTCAGTCCGATCCACGTCCGATCGAGATATATCGACACGAAGGACGGTGGTATCGTAAAGTAGTCCACGAACGAATACATCTCCAACATGAACCACAGCTTGTCACTGGCGGCGATAAACTGCGGGAATCATAAGAAAGACAAATTGTAAGTAAAAAAACTAGTATAAAAAATATTTCACGGAAAGAACCCGAGAACATTTTTGTAAGATACAAATAAAAATTGTCTATACTTCGCACGAAGCGTGTATTTATAACAAGTTTGAAATGTTTTTTAAACGTTCCGAATTTTGGTGAAACTTTCACCAAGTTTTTCTTCCTGAGAAATTCACGAGATGAAAGACAAAACGTCTGTATTTTTTTTATGTGACAGAATTTTGCACAAAACTTGTATCCTCCACTTAATAATCTTAATGCTTGCCAAAAAGTTCATTGAGACAAACGGGACCGATAATCTTACTTACGCGTATAAAAAAGTAGACCATAAAAAATATATTGAAAGCTAAGTCTATCTGCTGAGTAATGTTGTTGCTCCACTTCTGGCAACGCTCCACCGCTGACAACGCTCCACCATCGCTGTAACATAAAAGCACGAGATTGCGGATGTTAGGTCAGCATCTCTTATGAACTCACGCGAAGGTCTCGGTCTTAAAAAAGGCAACACTGAAAGGGCGACTAAAATAGCAGCGATTAAACTAGCGATTATCACCGCGCCCTTAATTAAACCGCAAGAAAAAGCTACAAAGTGCTGTTATAATATTACCAATACTGCGCGAGAATAAAAACAATATGCATGAATGTTTGTGATAAACTTAAAAGCCACGCATTAACACCGCCAGCGAACTCTTGTTACTCACCTGGAGGCATCGATGAAGTATATTATAAGCGATGCTATACTGAGAATGAAAACTAACACCACCTGAAACAGACAACAAGCCGCATTGTGAGACACTTTTCTTTTTTTAATACATGTAAATAATACATTAAATGTATAATCAAAAATTAATACTTAATAGTTTTTCATTGTGCTCGTAACGTTTTCCGAAAAAATAACGTGATTTTTGCCATTTCAAATAATCGTGCTTCTTGAAAAAAATCTAACGTACCAATTAGTTTATCAACTTGACGTACAGGTGTAGCGATCGTTACAGCGAGACGTACTCAAAGTTACGCAGCCAGAATAACATTCGCGAGAGCTCGTAACTTGAATGGCTCGTATATTGTTATCCCCGCGATTCATTCTCATTAGATCGTAGTATCGCTTTATTTTCGATATGACGCGCGCCAGCGTGGTGTAACGCAAAGTCTAGCCGATAACTGTCAGCAAATGTGAAGTAACGTTTATGACGAGCGCCAAGATGCCCCGTACTCGACGCCGTGTCAAAGCATATACCGGTAGTTACCGGCAAATATTATTAACGATCGCTATAACGTCAAATTACCTCCCTGCAACGACTTTAAAGTTGCGCAAATTCTCGCGAACAAACGCGCTAATGACCTGATTAAATCCCTCGTTAGACGACTAGCATTGATCACCATCGTCACCGAAGACAAGCGGTTAATTAAATGGCCGGGGTAATTTGCGCAGTCGGTGGCGATCCATCCACTGCCGAAGCAAAAATATTCGCGGTATGAAATATTCGCGAATGATGAATTGTTATACGTTAAATAAAACGCAGCAACGACGATGCTGGGGCACGTGTATCGGAAAATAATATTGCGCCGAGCAATCCGGTATTGTTAAACTGCGCATAGGAAACACATGCACGCATCACCTAAGTCCGAAAAGGAGTAAAAAAAAGTTTTTATCTTGCAGCGTTTTATCATTGTTTAACGGGTGGTAAAAAAACGCCGAGGTGTGTAAACACCGAATGAATCCCGTGCATCCGGGAACTATAATATCTCTCGCGCGCGCGCGAGGTATATTTAGGTATGCATCGCACAGACACAAAATTGCGAGCCGCGCAGCCACGCCTGTACATAATTATTGTAAACAATGGCTACGGCCAGCTCAATGATCGTATGCATGTAAGCACGCGATGCATGCGTCAAACACAAGATCGATGAGCGTCCATGTACAGAACTGAATGTGCTGTGAATCCATTAACACTCCCCGGCGATCCTTATTATCCCCGTCGAGAGGATATCCAAAACGACAGTTCTCTATTTTGATAACTAATTCTGCGAAATTATTGACAAATTAAATAATAAGATAAAGAATGCGATACCACGCGAAGAAATCGGTAAACGAAGCGGTCAAATAAAATGTTGATTCATTTGCTCATACACTTTGGAATATTCTGAGAATTTTTCTAATGTTACACGAGAAAATTTGTCGGCGCTCGTGGTTCACACGTAAACGGAAATAGCGAATAATTTCCATGTTATACGAGACGATAATATCTATCCAATGAGCGATTATCGGTACCTACATTTTATGACAGCATATTTTATCTCTCCCATATCTACATTATAGATCCTCCGCTTTCCCCGGAAAAGTGAAACGTTCTTATTGCCAGAAATGCAAAACTTATAAAGAAGATAAAACGGTAAAAATACATTTCTTCGGATTAAAAAAGGCATTGAAATTTAATGATAAAATAAAAATGGTATCTCACTTAAAAATAAATATTTGTAAAAGTTCAATGTGTCAATCATAATTTCAAAACATAATTTATTTACTTTGCTGGATTTTCTACGTAAATGTATATCTTTTACATATGATAGTAAAAAAAGTCTGTGTTAATAATTTATCTCACATTTGTCTCTCACTCGTTACAGTATCAAGTTACTGTAAGAGAAAGATATTAGGTTTTCAGAAAATACTCCACTTTGTACATTCTATTAGATCAACTTATCATATAGGGCATCTCTTGAAAAGTTACTTTAAGAAAGACGATCTTCCAACGACGTGTCAGAGTTTAGCACGTGTAATTTCCCTATCAGTCTACTTTACAACTACTTTATACCATCCACGTAACACCCTTCTCGTGAATCTTCCTTTGTAAATCTGTTTAAAGGAAGAGACGGGAAGATACGCGTCGGCGTAAACTAAGTGCAAAGAGAAGACGGAGTACAAGGGAAAGACGACAAAAAGAGAGACGAATAGAAAGATAAAGCGAGAAGCAGCACCCAACCAGCATACCGCATGATATTCCTGACGCTCGTCGGTCTCACGAGAGCGAAACTCTATACATAGTCACCGCTCGAAAATAGACAGTAGGTGCGGCCCTCGGCGGAATGATGTAGAGAAGAAACGAGAGAAGTAGTCACGAAAGAAGAACGAAGTAGCGACGGTCATAATGCTGAAGAGATAGTTCAGTGACAGCGGCCAACAAACGAAAGCGGCGGAAGAGAAAAGAAGGAAGAAGCACCCGACGGGACGGACGACGACCCCGCGAGTCGATCTCATGAATTCGCATGAGACGCATCCGGAGTCGCGAGCTCTCCCCGGTGCATTTCTTCGTTTTCTTTAAATTCTTTTTAAAACTGGCCTGTTTTCGCCGCCTTGCGGAAACTACGTGGAGAACGGGCCGTCGTGAGCCGAGGCTCGCGTTTCCGTGTTAGTCGGCAGGCGAGCATTAAAGTTCAGGGTTATCGCGCGCTAAAGACCGTAATAAGAAGCCCGGTACTCGCCTCTCTCCACCCTGGGAGCCAACGAACTCCCGCCTCGTCATCGATTTAAGCCCTTATCAAACCTGTCGTGCTCCTAACGACCGTTACAGCAAATTGACTTGATAAACGGCCGCACCACGCGAAATTACCAGACGGCGGTGTTTCCTGAAGCAGCGCGTACCCGCCCTCGCCGCGAACTGAACAATTCCCTGGATGCCTAACGCTAATAACTCGTTTGATATTCTACGGGATAATAGCTAGTATCATTATTATGATAAGAATATTTCATGTAAGGATCGTTTACTCTCCCTTCCCGAGAAACGAGAGACCATTTACTGCAGAAATTTCATTTTGCGGGACATTCACAAACAATTTTGCCTTCTTTTTTTCACGAGTAACAGAGTCCACATTGAATAGAGCGCCGTTTCAAAGCGTGCGCGACTGAAAACTAGAAAATTCTGACAAGTTTTGCACTGCAAAAGTTCAAATAACAGAGCGTTCGGTTTAGTTTACAGTTTTTTTTTTGTTTTAAGGATACCTTCTACAGTATCTTCTGATCGACATTGTTACATATTTAGGTTGCTCCCTTCTTTGTCAACAATAAAGAGATAATACCTTTTTGTTTAATTAATTAGAAAGCGAAAGTTTCATTGATAATTCCAATGCATTTAACGCGCAAATTGCTGCGCTAAGTTTGCTATTAAAACATAAACTATATCAATTTTCGAATTAGCGCAATATAATTCGAGAAATCGCGATAAAAGATGACAGCTTTTTCAAAAAACGTGTTCATATAACCGTGCAAATCTCTATTCCATAATACTCTTATTTTTATTTACAACATAAATATTGGGTCATATTTTAATCTGTACTTCGTATACCATATAAAAGCTTACAACAACTTTACGCTGATTACGGGGTATACAGCATAACGTGTTTCAAAAGAAAAACTATTGTAAACTAAAGTAGGACGAACGATTAATGGCTATCATACACTGAAAAAAATTTCTGGTTGAATATGGACGAATCAGATAATTCCTTTAGGATTTACCAGAATTCCTTTAGGATTTACCAGAATTTCTGTAGGATTGCAGGAATTCTGGTAAATCCTAAAGGAATTCTGGTAAATCCTAAAGGAATTATCTGATTCGTCCATATTCAACCAGACATTTTTTTCAGTGTACTTCAATACTGCTGTGCAATCTATTATATTGAAACAAGGAGCACATTTTCGCGCTGTACACATAAATACATAATATTCATTACTACAGAAAGTATTATTACATAGTTAATAAATTAGACTACGAGGATAAAAGTGTTGCATCACGCATCGGAACTTACAATGAGTCCACCAATACTTGTAAAGGAAATCGATAAACCAATATATTCTTTTGTAAAAAAATAATGAGATATTTTAATTTTTTATATAGAAAATAATTATTTATGCTCTCTTGATTTTGCATTATAGAAATATAAATGAATTTCATGTAAAAATTGTTTGCCACAACATTTAATTTTAAACAGCGTAAACTTTCAATAACTTCTATTCAATTATCGCATTCCAAAACAACCGCCATGTTAGTTATTTCGACCACAATAGATTTGTAGTTTCTAATTAACACCAATTCCATTTTACACGAACGGGACTAGATTAAATTAACAAGATACAGAAGTAAAATTGAAAGATCGCGATCCCGATGGCCTTCCGTGAAATTTCCGTTAAGCAGAAATCGATTCCAAAATAAGTTAAAGGCTTTGTGACTCGATGCGATATCTCAGATACTCCGTGCAGGGAAACCAAGTTTACGGATCTACAATCTCGAACTTGACGAGCTCGTATAAACAGACACCGTATCGATCTCTCGGACACCGGATTTACGCGAAACTTTTATTATGTTTGCACTGATAGAATGAGAAAGCGCGCGCGCGCACGCGTGCGAGGGAGAGAGAGAGAATAATCCCACTAGGCGGAAGATTCGTGGACGGGCGATGGCGCCAAGAGTGCACAGGTGTAAAAATAGGCACTGTTACAGAGAACGAGAGAGTGAGAGAGAACCGATCAGTGAGGTAAAGAACGTAGAAAAATTCAAGGCGGTCGCAGACGGAAGTCGACGCGCTACCAACCAAGTGGTCGCACGTAAAATGCCGCAACTTGTCGGCCGGGGAGTCCCCGCGCGGTAGGGCGCGCGTATGTGGTACACGTACACGTAGCATAAATAAATAAAAAGGCGTAGCTTATGTGCCCTGCCGACCGATCGATTTCGCCGGTTGGCTCCGTTCCAGATATTCCCTCGTTAGATTTTC